TGAGGCTTCAGGTCAGGCACTGAACGCTGAGAAACAAACAGGATGTGGTCTCTGCCCTGGAGGAACCCACACACACCTTAGCGGAGAGGGGGAAAACAACCTAGCAAACACAACACAAAGTGGTGATTCTCGAGTCAAGACCCACGGGATGGTGAGTAAATGGAGAGGTACAGAGACCTTATCAGAGAGTGTAGTGGTTAGAAACATGATTTTTGGAGCCATAAAATCTAGTACCATGCAGTAGTTTTGTGGCCTTATGTAGTATCCCTAACCTACCTACAGCATAGGGTTATGAGGATTAATTAAGAGGTGTAGGAAAGGTTGTAGCCAGATGCCTGGCATCATAACCACCACCATCATCACTACCACCACCACCACCCTCCTCCTCCTCATCTTTTCACACCACCAAGGCTACTAATGCCCACGGGCTCTCGGGGGGTTATTTCATTAATGCCCTGGCTCTGCCCTAAAAGCTGAATGTGGAGATGGCTGTCCTCAGCTCTTGTGGCAGGTACTTGAGCTCTTCCAGGTGCTTGTGGGTAGGGTGGACCCAGGTGGAGGCTGGACTCCCCAGCTTCTACAGTTACTTCCAAATGGGAGAGTCTAGGATTCCAAATGGGAGAGTCTAGGATTCTTTTGTACTCAGGAGAATTTACCAGGGGAGCCCAAAGGAACAACTTGGAAGTTTGCACTTGCCCCCTTCTCCTTTCCAGACCTTGGGCTCCGCAGATCTCCCTCCGGAGGGCTACCCCAGCTCAGGGTTCTCAACTCTTGGTCTTTGTTCACACAGTGAAAGCTGGTGAGATATTTGTATATGTAAAGGCTGCCGGCACTTCCTTGTGTGGCTTTACCCTCTGAAGTCCTGGCCCAGGGCTCAGGTTTCATAAGGGCTGACAAGGAAGTCCAAGCGATCTTCTGCATGAGGAGGTGCCAATCACGTGGATGCTGACGGGAACAGGAGGAACCAGTGCCAAGGGGAAATTGTGTGGCTGTCAGACTGCCAATAGCCTCATGGATAGGGGAGGTCCCAGCACCTGGCCTGCACCTGTCTGCCAGCCCCACCCTTGTCTTACCTGTGGTGGATTTTGGGGATGTTCAGAGCTTTATGGGGCGCCCTCCCTTTATGGAGACAGATAAAACATCTAGTGTAGCTGTAGACCAGCTGAGTTCCTTTATTTTGCAGAGACTGTTGCTTTCAGCTTCTGGACACAGGGTTGAGCTCTGCAGTGTATGGGAAGTGATTGTCCAGCCCATCCCTTTTCTCCCTCTCGCTGTTTCCTCTACCAGTGCCAATATCTGTCTCTTGCACTGACCGCGAGCATCTCTCATTAGGTCGGTGCTAGGAAGAAGTGAAACACACATCAGCCTTTTCTAATACCTGCTGTGCAGTGAAAAAAGCCTGGGGCTTGGGGTCAGAAAAACCCGAATGGAAGCTCTTGGCTCTGCCCAAGACTAGCTGGGTAACCCTAAGCAATTATTTAACCTCATGAGATCTCAGTTTGCTTACTCATAAAACGGGGAAGTAATGAGTCATACCTTCCATACAGCACTTAGAAAGGACAGCCAGGGCCCTCCACCTGGGTCGTGTGTTTTTAGATCAACACTTCTCAATAATTAATGTGCACACAAAGCCCTGGGGATTGTGTTAAGCTATAGATTCTGGCTCAGTAGATCTTAGCGAGGGCCTGAGATTCTTCATTTATAAGAAGCTCCCTGGCCGGGCGCAGTGGCTCAAGCCTGTAATCCCAGCACTTTGGGAGGCCGAGATGGGCAGATCACGAGGTCAGGAGATCGAGACCATCCTGGCTAACACGGTGAAACCCCGTCTCTACTAAAAAAATACAAAAAACTAGCCGGGCAAGTTGGCGGGCGCCTGTAGTCCCAGCTACTTGGGAGGCTGAGGCAGGAGAATGGCATAAACCCAGGAGGCGGAGCTTGCAGTGAGCTGAGATCTGGCCACTGCACTCCAGCCTGGGTGACAGAGGGAGACTCCATCTCAAAAAAAAAAATAAATAAATAAAAATAAGAAGCTCCCTGGTGATGCCCATGCTGCTGGTCCAGGGACCACACTTTGGCAAGGCCTTTCAGGATTTTATGAGATTTTTTTTTTTTTTTCCAGCTGGAGTCTCGCTCTGTCGTCCAGGGTGGAGTGCAGTGGTGCGATCTCTACTCACTGCAACCTCCGCCCCCCAGGTTCAAGCAATTCTTGTGCCTCAGCCTCCCAAGTAGCTGGGATTACAGGCACCTGCCAACATGCCCCACTAATTTTTCTGTTTTTAGTAGAGATGGAGTTTCACCATATTGGCCAGGCTGGTCTCGAACTCCTGGCCTGAAGTGATCTGTCCACCTCTGCCTCCTAAATGCTGGGATTACAGTTGTGAGCCATGGTGCCCAGCCATTTTATGAGGACTAAATAAGCAGATGTACATAAACATGGTTAGAAGAGTGCCTCACACATGATGAGTGCTCAACTGATGTCATTCCTCTCTGCCTTCCTCCTTGAAAGTTTTAGAAAAAGACTCAGTGGAGGAGAGAGTTCACGTGAAATTATTAGGACCACAGTGATCAGGTTGCAGAATGGTGAAGCTGGAGATGACTCTAGGGTGTCTAGAGGGGAACTCTTAAATTCCACCTTGCCCAGGCATCACCTAAAAATATACTGACCTAGAAAATCTTGGAATGGGCCCCTGGAATTGTTAGTTTTAAAAAAAAGTTCCAGTAGCTTTTGATGCCTTTTTTTTTTTTTTTAATTACTGATCTGGTCCAAACCCTCATTTTATTTCTTCTCAAACACGTTTTTTAAAACTTTTATTCTGCTTTCAAGGGTACATGTGCATGGTGGTCCTCTAGGTAAATGACTGTGTTGTAGGAGTTTGGTATACGTATTATGTCATCATCCAGGTAATAAGCACAGTACCCAGTGGATAGTTTTTCGATCCCCTCCCTCCTCCTGCCTCCCACCCTGAAGCAGACCATGGTGCCTGTTGTTCCCTTCTTTGTGTCCATGTGTACTCAATGCCAAACCCTCATTTTAGAGATGAGCCCCAGAGAGGTGAAGTGACAGCCCTAAGCCATGTAGAAGGTTCAATCAATGATTCGTTCATCATTCAATATATATTTTCTGAACACCTTCTGTGTTCAAGGCACCATGCTGGGTTCTAGGGGGACTCAGTGGTGAAAAGCCTGACCCCAGTACCTGTTCTTACAGAACTCATAGCCTAGTGGGGGCCCAGATATCAGACATGGATCAGGTAGACAGTGTGGACAATCATGCGTAGTCATAAATGCTTTCCATCCTGTATAAAGTAGAGGCTGCAGCGGCAGAGGTCAGAGGGGACCTGACTTAGATTGGGGAATCAGAGAAGGCTCCTCTTAGGAAGTGACCTTTCAGATGAGACCTGAAGGATTAGCAGAAAAGAGCCAGGTGGAGAGTGGGCAAAGCCAGGGAAAGAGTGTGGCACAGTTGAGGCACCGAGGGGGTACCAGTTTGACTGATGGAGGCAAGGGGAGTGTCCTGGTGGGGCTGGAGGGACACCATGCAGGCTTTTTCTCACTGGTGTCCCCCGGTTCTGTCCACAGCAAACGGGCCCCATCAGTGCCACCCTGGTGATGACACGCCCCATCAAAGGGCCCCGGGAAATCCAGCTGGACTTGGAAATGATCACTGTCAACACTGTCATTAACTTCAGAGGCAGCTCCGTGATCCGACTGCGGATATATGTGTCGCAGTACCCATTCTGAGCCTCGGGCTGGAGCCTCCGACGCTGGCTCTCATCGGCACCAAGGGACAGGAGAAGAGGAAATAACAGAGAGAATGAGAGCGACACAGACGTTATGCGTTTCCTGCTGAACATTTCCCTGAAGAGTCAGCCCCGACATCCTGACTCTCACCTGTACTATTGCAGACCTGTCACCCTGAAGGACATGCCACCCCCAGTTCCTATGATGCAGTTATCAAAAAGTATTATCATTGCTCCCCTGATGTAAGATTGTTGGTGAATTTTCAAGGCCTTCAGTTTATTTCCATGTTTCTCAAAGAAAATAGATTAGGTTTGCGGGGGTCTGAGTCTGTGTTCAAAGACTGTGAACAGCTTGCTGTCACCTCTTCACCTCTTTCACTCCTTCTCTCACTGTGTTACTGCTTTGCAAAGACCCGGGAGCTGGTGGGGAACGCTGGGAGTAGCTAGTTTGCTTTTTGCCTACACTGAGAAGGCTATGTAAACAAACCACAGCAGGATGGAAGGGTTTGAGAATGTATTTCAAAACCATGTCTGGTATTTTCAGCCATAAAAGAAGTTTGAGTTGTCCGTAAATTTGTATAACGGTTTAATCCTGTCTTGTTCATTTTGAGTATTTTTAAAAAATATGTTGTAGAATTCCTTCAAAAGGCCTTCAGACACATGCTATGTTCTGTCTTCCCAAACTCAGTCTCCTCTCCATTTTAGCCCAATGTTTTCTTTGAGGACCCCTTAATCTTGCTTTCTTTAGAATTTTTACCCAATTGGATTGGAAGGCAGAGGTCTCCAAACTGATTAAATATTTGAAGAGAGCTTGTGTTTGGTTCATTTTGACATCATAGATGATTCAGCATTTGGGGTTCTAGTTCTGTTTAAACCTGTTTATCATGTGCTTAGAAAGCTCTCCAGGGAGCTAGGGCATTATCTGTCACTCTGGCAAGTCGATGGAGGGGGGCAGTGGGGCAGAGAAATGGGGGTGGTGGGGAAGTTAGGGGGAGGCATCATCCCTGAGTCCTGTTTCATCTGATTAGAAAACAACCAACAATTCTTCTCTTATGTAGATTATTTCCAATGCTCCTGCAGAACAGGAATGTATTCAAGTTACTTTGAACCAGTGACCCTCGATCCTGGCTGCATAGAAGGATAACCAGTAGAACTTTGGAGAAAAGACTGATTCCCTGGGACATGCCCCCAGACACTCTGATGTCATTGGGCTTAGGTAGGGCCTGGCCATCATGATTTTTGAAAACTTGACTACATAGCCAGAGTCGAGAATGTATTGTTATAAATCGTAGAAAGAGAGGTGGACAGATGGGGCTGGAGACTTAGCTGCCTTACCTTCAATGTCTTTTCTGCTCATTGTAGGATTCATTATTCTTTTCCTGGTCAGGGCCTCTGGATATCCTTCAAATCTTAGAACCCTGGGCAGGGGCCAACCGACAGTCAACATTGCAAGTCACAGGAGGACAGGTTGGGATGGCTGTCTTTATGTCCCACCCCAGGAATCATCCCAAGGCTTCAGGAAAAAAGTGCACTCCCTGATAGCCAAGGTGGAGTCTACCGATCCATCTGAGGGTGCTCCCGTCCTACCTGTTGGCGAGATATTCGTTAAGGACCCACACGGTGCCTACCAGGAGTTGTGCCCTGGACCCCTAGTCTTAGTAGGCATTCCACAGATCCTTATGATATGGACAGGAGACAGAGAAATACTGGGTAGAAGAGGGTGGTTCCCTGGCAAAGGCTCCACCCTCAAGCCTAAATACCCGGGCCCTAAATGAGGACAGGTATTCCTGTTTTCATCCCTAAAAAGTTGCCTTTTGGCCTGCCACATCCCCTATCCTGTACCCATATACATCCTGAACCCCAGGCTCCAGGCTCCAGAAGCAGATGGGGAGACAAGAAGATGAGCAGACATGAATGGCAGAACAGCACGGCAAAGAAGGAGAGAAGAGAAGAGAAGGAACATTGGGAGGAATTCGGCTAGAGATGATCTGAAAATTGGCCGCTGAATGGCCAAACTCCAGGGGAAGATCATCTTCCCACTCTATCCCCTGTCCAGCTCCCCATCCATCCTACTTAGAGCCACCTCCACCACTCAATAAAACGCCTGCATTCATCCTGCAAATTCATGTGTGACCTGATTCTTCCAGGATGCTGGACAAGAGCTTGGGATATAGGAAGCTGTCATACTGGCCCTCTGCCCTTGCGAAAAGGGAGAGGGTCCACTAAGCTGGTTAATGCTTAAGCTGCCACAGATGGCAAGGCTGAAAGAATGCACTGTAACACGTGCCTACTTGGGCTTTGGAAGTCACAGACGCCCACCCCTAGATGCTGTCTTGGGACTGGGGCCCAAAAGTGCTCACCCTGGTTCCTGCACCTGCCTGTCTGCGTGCTCCCCTTCCCATAAGGGGTTTTAGCTTGGGGCAGATGAACAGAGAGCCACACCCCTGTTGCACATACTGTGAGGGGGCCAGGGAACTCTCCTGTTCCACTTAGTAGTATCTTAGGCCTTCAGTGGAAGGAAACAGCATGTTCCACTCCCTGTAGCATCCAAGAAGCTGCAAGTCCTCCCTCCTCACCCCTAGAACATTTCTCACACCCACACCACACACCTCACTTTGCTGTTGGCTGTGGTTATTTTTTTCTCTAACTAAGCATATCTAAACCATCCCTAGTTGTGGTTCTTCAGTCAGGGTCAAGTGGTGTTAGCAATCACATCAGCAACAAATGGCTCAGGATGCTCTGGTTTCAAAGCTCAGAAAACAGAGGGTGATTCCCTTGGGACTCACTCAGCTCAGCTCTCCGAAGAGCAAAGGCCAGAAGGCAGCAGTGAGCCTGGGTCCTGGCTGTGTCAGGAGACTCAGGTGCTGGGAAGAAGTGTGGAAACAGAAACGCTGAAGATTTGTGTGAGCTTTGCACCGAGCACCTCTGAACCACTGCCTCTAGGCTCAACAGAACACGGGTACGTTTCCATGAACTTCTCAAAAAGAAGGCTGGGAAGCTTTCTGTCTTGATGATTTGAGGACCCACCAGTTTCAGAGGTGCCACATTTGGAACCAGATCCGAGTCTCTAAGGTTTGTGTTTTATTTGTTCGTATCAAAATGTGGCTTCCTGCTTCTAAGAAAAGAAGCACAGAGAGGCTCATAAAAGCAGCCTCCAAGGGCTTCTTGGACCTCAGATTGCTCTTTCAAAACATGGTCTGATGAGTTCAGTGTAAATGCATCAGAGGCATGTGGGATCCATTTACCTTAAAATACACTTGGGCCTAAAAATTAAGAGAAAAACAGTCCAGGGCAAAGTGTACACTGCAAAGTCAAACTCCAAACATTTGGGAAACAGTTGTAGGGGCTGCTGGAACCCCAAATGCTACTTGCTTCACCTACCTTGGGAATCATCAAATGTTATTTTTTGCACAAGATTGGGGATGAGTCTGCTCTCTGATCCCAGTGCTATGCTCTGCTGTGCAGTTCCAAAGGGGCGGCTGTTTCCTGGACCCTGAGATCTCCAGGCTCCCCGTGTCTGCTCCTTGTCAGCTTTGCCCTATCCAGGAGCTGGGCTGAGAGCTTGTCAAGTGACCCCTGCTTTGTACCACTCCATCAGGTCCTGAAGAATGAAAGGTACCAAGGTGGAAGGGGCACAGATTAAGAGCAGGGACACCTGCAAAAGCTCTCGTGTTACCACCTCATCTTCCAACTTTCATATGAGTGAAAACGTTAATTCAGTTGCTTCTAATTCTGAAGTTTTGTGATTCCTTGAAATGTACTTTGGGGATGACAGCCAGCATTTCCATTTCACTGCAATTTCAGAGTTTTGCAGTGGTTTGCCAATCATAACACTTTCTAATTGGCACAAAATCCACCTACCTGTTGCCTCTCAGCCTTGGGTAACATACTTAGACACTTTCTTAGGTAAATCTTGGCCCTTGGGGTGTTATTTGCCCAGATGGTAAAAACATTTAAGTAGGTCTGATTATTTCATTTTCAGTGGTTTCAACGCATTTTTGTGGCCTGGGTGTTTACCGTAATGTGCCTAAGTTGTTCATTGTGAGCCAACGGGTTCACCCACAGAGAGAAGACTTGATGAAGGAGCTCTTCTCCACTCCCCTCTTGCCAGATGAAATCCTGTTTGTAAAAGGTCTTTGTCTTGAGAGGATCACATACTTTGGTTGAGAATCCACTTTGGTTAAGCCGGTTGCTGGATTCAGAGACATGAACAGGATAGACAGTCCACCGATAACTTTATAATAACACCTTTAATAACTTTTTAATAACTTTAAATAACTTTTTAATAACTTTAATTTAAAAGTTAATTTAAAACTTTAATAACTTTTTAATAATACCTTTATCCAAGGATTTATGCAGCATACAAGACAAAACTGGAATATAATGTCGTAGGTGCAGTAGCAGGGTCAACAAAACTTATTTTAGTTAGATTTTAAAAATTATTAAGATATCTATTTTATATAAGAAAAATTCTTAGGAACATTTATAGACGTGTTTGAAATTTAGAATAAGTTGTTTCTGCTTAGAATTATTAAATACTTTGAAACACTAATAAATGCTAGATAAACTTTTTCTTTTTGATACAATTTGTGTTTACTTTAAATGCAATATTTTCTTATCTGAAAAAAAAAGTGAGCACTTAGCAAATCTCTTCATTATTTTGGAATTGGCCAATGCTCATAAACTACAAACAAATACACAGATTGTTCCTTGTGCTGATATTTTTGTTTTCAAATTTCTTAGTCCTGTTACTTAACAAATGACTGATATCTTTGTTGGAATCCCTGAACATAGCTAAAAGATGCTTTTTTTGGTTTGTTTTTTAATAACCAAGAGGCTCCAAGACAAAGGAGTGCACAGAGGCAAAATTTATTACTTTGGTAGCTTTTGCTGGCATGAAAGCCTCAAGTTAGAATGTTTGACTTACTAATGGTTCTTAATAATGAGTCTTAGCCAGCAGCCATCAGAGAAATAAATCATTAAAGTGAAAAAATAGGTGTCAATACAGGAATGATCTACTGAATTGCCATTATTGGTGTTCTTTCAGAGGGGAACTGCATGTTGACAGGCAGTGACTTTTTCAGGAATTTGGAATATTCTTGAGCAATAATGTAAAGATGAAGGCAGGGGGGCCAGGCACAGGGGCTCATGCCTGTAATCCCAGCACTCTGGGAGGCTGAAGTGGGCAGATTACTTGAGGCCAGGAGTTCGAGACCAGCCTGGCCGATATGGTGAAACCCGTCTCTACTAAAAGTATAAAATTAGGTGGGAGTGGTGGCACACACCTATAATCCCAGCTACTCAGAGACTGAGGCAGGAGAATTGCTTGAACCCAGGAGGCAGAGGTTGCAGTGAGCCGAGATTGCACCACTGCATTTCAGCCTGGGTGACAGAGTGAGACTCTGTCTCAAAAAAAAAAAAAAAAAAAAAAAAAAAAAAAAAAGATGAAGGCAGGGTAAATTGTACACACATGCAAATACCAGTGTCATGATACCTACTTATTAGGATTTGAGAAATTAATTAATATTGATTTAAGGCCACAGAGTCATTGGATCACTTGATTCTGTTTAAAATAAGTTTTCGTTTGGAGAGGATTGTTTTGGTTTCAACCTGTTTCTTTTTTCTAAGTGTTCCTTTCCAATCTTCTACTCAGAATGAATTTAACATTGCAAAACTGGCTTGTATCACAATAGCTACTGTGCTTTAAAATAGGGTAGGTGCTTTGGGATCTTTGGAGTTTTAATGTACGAACCATTCATAATTTATCCCTCAAGCGAGTGTGGATTGTTTTATTTGTGAATGTTCTACATCCCCTCATCTGAAAACTTACCAAAAAAGGCATTACTGAGATAAAGCAGGGACCCCTTTTAGGGGCCTCCTTCCCCCACTCCCCAACAAGCATGGAAATAAAGCAAAATCTTGAGTTTCTGCAAGGGAAATTCCAGGCACCCAGCTAGCCCTGAGAAGTAAGGAGCAACTTGATAAGCAAGAAGGTAATAGTAGCTTAAAACAATAGTCAGGGAAGTTAGAGTTGTAGAAACTAAAGGTAACATCTTAACATATATCCCTGAGTTGTTTTCAGAAACCCAGACCCCTACCAAATGGATCCCCTGGCATGCAGACCTCAGATAAGGGAGAACTGAGGACTGAATTCTGACCTCTGTTCTTTATTCTGGCTTTTTTTTTTTTTTTTTTTTTTGCCAGGGTCTGGCTCTGTTGCCCAGGTTAGAGTGTAGTGGCGTAATCACAGCTCACCGCAGCCTCGACCTCCTGTCCTGTGATCCTCCCATCTCAGCCTTTCAAGTAGCTGGGACTACAGCCACGTGCCACCATGTCTGGCTAATTGTTTACTTTTTTTTTTTTTTTTTTTTTTGTAGAGATGGGGTCTGGGGTCTCGCTTTTTTGCCCAGGCTGATCTTGAGCTTCTGGCATCAAGTGATCCCTTCACCTTGGCCTCCCAAACTGCTAGGATTACAGCTGTGATCCACCATGCCTGGCCTCCATTCTTTGTTCTAAACTTTTTCCTGAAGGACCTGGAGGAAGTCACACCCACGGGCCAGACCCCACACTCTTTTCTGCCGAACTCAAGTCTTTTGACAAAGCTTCCCTTCTTTGCAAATAAAATTTTTGAATCCACCTCGGACCTTGTAAGCCCCCAACTCCAAGCTATCTCACCTTTTTAGGCCAAACCGGTATATAACCTCCATGTATCAATTTACAATTTTGCTTGTAACTTCGCTTTCCTGAAGTTTACCCTTGCCTTTAGAAACCCCTGCTTGTAAGCCATTGGGAAGATCAGGTCTTAGGCGTGAGCTGCTCAATTCTCCTTGCTTGGTGTCTCGTAAATCAATCCCCTTCCTTCTTCCACTAGAAAACCTTGATGTGAACGTTTGGCCTTACTGCGCTGGGCAAGCCGACTCCAGTTTTGTTTGGTAATATCATCGAAACCAAGCTATGATATTTGTAGATACCTTAGATCTTTATGGTGATGCTGTAACCTCATAGTTTTGTTTTGTCTTATTTTGTTTTGTTCTAGTTCCACTTTTAAAAAGATCTCATGGAGGTTTCTGCCCCAAGGCTGGCATTTCCACACAGCCAGTCTTTCTAAGCCAGTCTCTCCATACCAGTCTTTCTAAGAAGCAGCCCTATGGCCAGTAACAGTTACATTTTTGTTGAGCAAAGGCATTATTAAAATCATCATCTACATCTCTCAGTAAAACCATAGTTAGTCAGGGAGATCTTTTCAACTCAGAAGTCATACAGAGAGGTAGACTCCTTTGCTTCTGGCCTTTTTTCTTTTTTTTTTTTTGGTCTGTTGGAACTTTGGAATGTGTTATCTTTTTAGGGACTTCAATGCGATTAAAAAAAAGAATCCGGGACATCATTTTTCACCATAAAAGCTGGGACTTTTCATCAGTAGGTGGTGAAGAGTTCCCAGGTGTACTCCAAGAAGTTTTGGAACAATAAGGCACACCAAAAAGAAGCAGGCTGCCTCATTTGGCGTGACTGCAGGGATGGGGCAGGCCGCAGGGAGGAGAGGAAGTGGCTCCTTCCAGCAAATGCTGAGCCAAGGCGCCCTGTGCTGCTCACACTTGATCTGCAGCGGCAGGAGGCTTCCATCCTGGGAAATCGCCTCAAGGCTGCTCTTGATCTTAATTTTCACCAGATTTCCCTCAGCTCCACTCCACTCCTTTGCCGGTTCAACAAAGACCAACAAACCTGTTGATGGCTGAGGTGAAAACTAAGAGGAGGTGGAGATGTGGCTGATTCTCTTTCTCTTTCTCTTCCTCTTCCTCCCCGGGTCAAACTCTGAATCCATGCTTTCCTTTTTTTTTTTTTTTTTTTTTTTTGAGACAGAGTCTCACTCTGTCACCCAGGCTGGAGTGCAGTGGTGTGATCTCAGCTCAGTGCAACCTCCATCTCCTAGGCTTAAGCAATCCTAACACCTCAGCCTCCCAAGTAGGTGGGAACACAGGTGCCTGCCTGGCTGATTTTTTTGTATTTTTGGTAAAGATGGGGTTTTGCCATGTTGCCCAGGCTGGTCTCAATCTCCTGAGCTCAAGTGATCTGCCCACCTCAGCCTCCCAAAGTGCTGGGATTACAGGTGTGAGCCACCACACCCAGCCTATAATTTAAGACCAATTGTTTAAAATTAGTTAAAATTACAAAATTGAGTTGCTGAGTCAAATGCAATGCATATATATATATATATATATATATTTTTTTTTTTTTTTTTTTTTTCCCCCAACAACATGGTTTCACTGTCACCCAGGCTGCAGTACAGGTAGCCCACTGCAACTTCTGCCTTCCAGGCTCAAGTGATCTTTCTGCCTCAGCTTCCCAAGTAGCTGGGATTACAGACACCCACCACCAGGCCTGGCTAATTTTTGTATTTTTAGTAAAAACAGGGTTTCACCACGTTGGCCAGGCTGGTCTTGAACTCCTGACCTCAAGTGATCCACCCGCCTTGGCCTCCCAAAGTGCTGGGATTACAGGCATCAGCCATCATGTCCAGCTCCTGTTTACTTCTGCATAAGAGCTGGTGACGCCTTTGCTTCCCTCCACTTCCTCCTCTTGTTTCTTCCCCTGCCTCTCTTCTCTCTCTTCTTTCTTTCTCTGCACTGGCCCACCTTCCCCTTCACCTGTTCTCCATCCCAAAGTTGCAAGGTGGTAGTCAGGGTTAGGTCCTGTCCAATGAAAGCAAAGCTGGGTCCAAGGGACAAAGTACAAAGCTTTTTATGCATTATTACTTCTCCCTTAAATTCCTCTTTTCTTCTCTCCTAAGCACACAGAAGCAGTCTCTAGAACATCTCTTCCTGAGCAAAGTCACAGCTTTTTGTTATTGTTGTTACTTGCCCTCTTCCTGTTCCTGCTTTAAAAAAGAAAGTAGCTGTATCCACTTATGTGAACATGGTACTTTCTTGTGGCTGTTCTTCTGAAGACTCATTCTCCGGGTTCTTTTTGATTTCCAGTCTCTCCATCCTAGAGTCAATTTCCTTCATTCCAATAGCCCTTGTTAGAGATCCAGGCTACCCCCACTCATTCCCAAACATGGACTTCCAGACATCTTTCCAGCACTCCCTTTGTCCCACTCCATTATGGTATCCAGTGGCTTGACATGATGCTTCTGTTCTTCATGTAATCTAGAGCAGAGAGGCTGGGAAAAACTGAAGTCTCTTTAAACACAAGACAGTGCACAGTCTCCAGAGGCCACGGTCTCTTTGCCAGTCACAAAGAACCCCTAATTGCTTTGTAAAATGTAGTCCATCCCTCTTCACAGATTCACAGATTACAGAGTTATTCATCCAAATAATTTCCACATACTATATAAAGGGTTTCACGGACAGTAGCCTTGATTCAGATCAACCTGTATCTCTGCAACCCTCACTACAGACCACTTTTTCACAGTGGAGTTGCTATTTGGCTATGGCTTAAAGGATGACCCAGAATTCCTCAAGCATAGAGAGAGGGGAAGGGCACTAAGAAGACAAGTGTCGTTGGAACAGAGGATACAAGGATGTGTGTATGGCAGGAAGGGATTAAAGTTGAGGCTAGATTATTCAGAACACTATTCTAGCTGAGTTTGGACTTTTTTTTTTTTTTTTTTTTTTTTGAGACGGAGTCTCACTCTGTCGCTGGGGCTGGAGTACAGTGGCCGGATCTCAGCTCACTGCAAGCTCCGCCTCCCGGGTTTACGTCATTCTCCTGCCTCAGCCTCCCGAGTAGCTGGGACTACAGGCGCCCGCCACCTCGCCCGGCTAGTTTTTTGTATTTTTTTAGTAGAGATGGGGTTTCACTGTGTTAGCCAGGATGGTCTCGATCTCCTGGCCTCGTGATCCGCCCGTCTCGGCCTCCCAAAGTGCTGGGATTACAGGCTTGAGCCACCGTGCCCGGCTGAGTTTGGACTTCATACTGTGCAGGTCAGCATTTCACAGAAGACTAGCCCATGAAGATGCTAATCAACGCTCCAAGATCAAGGAACTCACTTGTTTAATAAGTTGGGGAATTTGAATGCTGAATCCCCTTTTCAAACAGTCACAGTTGATTTTAGAAAATTGAAGCCTCTGAGAAGTCCTGCAATGAAAAGGAAACCTGCTTAATTTCATATAAAGGTTAATCCAACTTTTTTTTTTTTTTTGCAAGGAAATGATTTCCCCCCTTTCCCAGCCCCCCTACTCCCCATAACAACTATTAACATCTCCAGGAACAATTTTCCTTGGAGTCTGGAATTGCTGCTGTCTGCTATGGGAAACTGTGGTGAGGTTTTAATTTTGTTTCCATTTTTTATTAGGGAAAACACATCATCTTGTTTTCCACTTTGGAAATGGTATATGGAGGGAGGGGAGATGAGAGTTAAGAAAAATAATTGCAGTTGTTCACATAAGAAACGTTATTCCTAAAGTGATCTTTCTAAAGAGTAAGGCTGACTAGGTCCTTACTTAGAACTCTACTGACATTCCGTCTGCCCACAGGCCCACAGACTAAGTTTCAAACTCCTGAATAAGATTGACAAAACCTTCCGTGATCTGGTTCCTGCTTGATTCTCCAGTTCCAGCTCCTACCACTTTCCCCTCCTTTAGAACACATTCTTGAAGAAACAAACACATCCCCGACAAACCAGAATGGCTGAGGTACTCCCTCCAGCTGCTCCTGTCTGAGCTCTTCTCATTGGCTGGAATGCAGTTCTTCTCTTTGCCCACTTGGCAAATACCTATTTATCTTTCAACAGAGATCAGCCTCTCTAGGAACTTTCCAGAGCCATCCCTGACCTGTGTGGTCTGTGCAGCCCACCAAGCCCCCACCCCTGTGTAGAGGGAGTCACTCCTTTTGTATTACCAGTGCCCCTGTGGTGTAGTTTCCACCCGGGGGTTCTAAAATGCAAACTCCAGCATGATACTATTTGTGTGTTGTTCATAATGTAGACTTACAGTCTCGCACAGTGCCTGGCCCATAGTAGGTGGTCAGTGTCAGTAGGTTGAGCAGAATGCAATGATGGGAAAATGCAGAGAAGGGGAAAGCTTCAAGAGAAATGGAATAGGTGGAATCAATAGGTCTTGGTGATTGATTGGGTATGGAGGTTTAGGGAGCCAAAGGACACCCTGAGTGGGCTAAAGACCTCAGGAGGAAGAGTTTTGGTAGAAGGGAAAGGTGAATGTCATTTTAAACTTGCTTCTTTTTAAAAAATTTTTATGTTTTGTTAAGGTAATACTTACATACAGTTAAATGGATAGATCTTAACTACACAGTTTGACAAATGAAACATGCTGAATTGAAGATGGCCACATTTGGGTGAAGGTATTGTGAAGATGGCCAGCAGTGTGTATCAAAGCACAGAGTCTAGTGCTACAGACTGAGCTCTGGGGTCCTTGTGGGAAGTGACACTGGGTGCAGATGAGGCAACCCCCTGCGGTGAGAAGCTCCAAATATCCCAGTACCCCGAGGTGGCTCCAGATACTGGGATATTTGGATCTCTCTCACTAATCACTAGGATGTTTTCATCTTCCTTTGGCTGTTTTCTGCTTTTGTTTTGGCTGGGCTGGGCTTCCCTCTTGTTGTTTGGGCTGTTAAAGGATTAGAAACTATGCTGGAGAGTGCAAGGGACACGGAATGGGATGGCCACAGTTAATTGGGAACATGTGTAGAGGACCCACACTTTGATCTGCATGACCACGCTTATGAAAGCAGTTTCTTCATCCACTCACAGGGAGTCAGTCCATCACTTCCTGAGTGAGTGACAAAGTTCCTTTCCCTGGTGACTGGGGCCACCACACACAACAGATGAGGAAAGAATTCTAAGATAAACAAAAATGACTCATAGCATAATATGAAAACTGAAACATGCATTAACCAAGCTATCTCTGCATCCTGAAGCAGCAGAGTCTTTTGCTAAAGAACTCATTAGGCAAATAAGTGTTCTCAGTTGGAGGTTAGCAATCATTTGGCTCAAAGTATACTGCATTTAATTAAAATGTACAGGAAAAATTCTCCTGGCCAGAGGAGTTATGGTGATGTGAAGGAAGATCTCTGTCTGAAGTCTAGACATCTTTGGTTCTTTGTCCAATTCTTTCTGCTATGTGACCTAGGGCAAGTCATCTGGCCTCTCTGAGCCTCAGATCCTTCTTTGGTAACCTGCAGAAGATGTCGATGTCAGCCGGACGTGGTGGCTCACGTCTGTAATCCCAGCACTTTGGGAGGCCGAAGCAGGCAGATCATGAGGTCAGGAGATCAAGACCATCCTAGCTAACACAGTGAAACCCCGTCTCTACTAAAAATACAAAAAATTAGCCGGACGTGGTGGCGGGTGCCTGTGGTCCCAGCTACTGGGGAGGCTGAGGCAGGAGAATGGCGTGAACCTGGGAGGCAGAGCTTGCAGTGAGCCAAAATCGCACCGCTGCACTCCAGCCTGGGCGACAGAGCAAGACTCTGTCTCAAAAAAAAAAGAAAGAAAAGATGTCGATGTCAACCCTGAATCCTGTATTTACTCAACTTCTCAACAAATATTCTTGGTTGGGAGTGGTGGCTCATGCTGGTAATCTCAGCACTTTGGGAGGCTGAGGCTGGTGGATTGCTTGAGGCCAGAGGTTTGAGACCAGCCTAGGAAATACGGTGAAACCCCATCTTTACCAAAAAAAAGAAAAAAAAAGAAAAAGAAAGAGAAGCAGAAGAAGCAGAAGGAGGAGGAGGAGGAGGAGGAGGAGGAAAGAATCAGCCAAGCATAATGGTGCATGCCTGTGGTCCCAGCTACTCAAGAGGTTGAAGTGGGAGGATCACTTAAGCCCAAGAAGTTGAGGCTGCAGTGAGCCATGATGGCACCAATGCATTCCAGCCTGGGCAACAGAGCAATACCCTATCTCAAAAAACAAACAAACAACAACAACAAAAACCCAAATATTCTTCAAGCTTCCACTCTGTTCTGGGCACTGAGCTGGTTAAATATCCCTGCATGAACAATTTCTCGCTCTGGTCCCTGCCCAAACAGCTGTTACTCCCAACTCAAAAGCATGGCTCTGTTCTTTACGCAAACTTGGAAAAGTGGGCTGGGTACCACTCTGGTTCTTTATAGGAATTTTGTTGTGGTTCAGGTGAGTGGACATCATAGTGCCAATCTGTTGCCAATAGTGGAAGGAATGCTGGGATTGGAGTTGAATAGACCTGGATTTGGGTCTCAACCCTGCCACTTACTAGTTTGTGACCTGGACTAATTTACTGAGGTTCTTTGAGCCTCACTTTTCTCATCTGTTAAATGGGGATAATAATACCTCCTCCAGTTGTTTTGAGAAATAAGGTGATGTGTATGGAGGTGCTTGGTGTCTTTCTTCCTTGTTATCTGAGCAAGCAGCTGGTACCCCTACATCTTTCTTCACTTCAAACTTACAAGCCATTCACCCAAGCCATGACTCGGTTTATAAATGGTTCCTGGAACTTGGGGGACAAAAGTGACCCCACTTCAGCATTCCCTCAGTGCTTTCCTCTCATTGCATTTCAGAGAGATTTGAAATCAGACCCATTTCCTGGCCACTTTCTACAAACTGGGAAGGGAGTCTCTAGCAACATTTTCCCTCTGGAAATGCACTATGGGTGTACCAGGGAGGTAATTTTAATTATATTTTGTTGAGAATGCTTCCAGAAAAGTATAGAATATAGTCCAAGACAACTGAAAGGATCTAGAAATTCCGTCATGAGGGACAAATGCCTTTACAATGAGGACTCTGAGGTTGGAGTTGGGGATTGACTAGTTTCAGGGAAGGCTGGGAGTGAGTGGCAGATTGGCAGATGGGTCTCTTGCTTGATCTACCTTTGGTCTAGTGCTGTTTCTCATAAACCACAAGATCTTTCCAATCCTAAGCTGTTTTAACTACTTGTATCTCAAGTGATCTAAAAACAATTGGCTTAATCCACAGGGCTCTCCTTGCCTTTTTGTGTTGAAGGATATTCCCTAATTTAGACCACTTCTGTGACCTTTCAAGGTAGGGTAAACTCTGGTGGCACTAGGGACAGCAAAAACCACAAAGAGGCCAGGATATGTGGCCACTCAAATGAGAGTTTAGATAGAATAAGCACCATTGGAAAAGGATGGAGAGACTCCAGAGGCCTTGGTGGAAGAGGGACTGCTGCCTCTTCAGTCTAAAGACCTGTGGTGCAGAGAGGGTTCCCACATGGCACTCTGGGCTTTGACATTAATTAGGGTCATGAACAAACAGCCACAATATAGACAGCTCTGGGGACAGGGGAGGCAATTGTTAGTGACACCACATGAGGCCTCCCAGGCACAGCTCTCTCTCCTCCCTATCTTCCTTTTTCCTTCCCTAAACTTACTTTTTTCTTTTTTTTTTTTGAGACAAGGTCTCACTTTGTCACACAGGCTGGAGTGCAATGGCGCCATCTCAGCTCATTGTAACTACTTCCGCCCCTGGGTTCAAGCAATTCTCGTGCCTTGGCCTCCCAAGTAGCTGGGACTACAGGTGTGCACCACCATGCCCAGCTAATTTCTGTATGTTTTAGTAAAGACAGCGTTTCACCATGTTGGCCAGGCTGGTCTCAAACTCCTGATCTCAAGTGATCCACCCACTTCAGCCTCCTGAAATGATGGGCTTATAGGTGTGAGCCAGCACGCCTGGCCCCTAAACATATCTTGAATACCTTTTATATGCCAGGTGCTAGAGCCTTAACCCTGACCCCAAAGAACTGGTGATTTTCCCTCCCTTGTCTCTCTTCAAAAAACTCATCTGTCTTTCATGCTCATCTCTCCACCGTTTGTCCTTCCTTCTGCTTCATCTTTTTTTCTCCTCTCTCATATGTCTTTGTTTTATTTGTAACCCAGAAGTCAGCTGTGGTTTCCTGGCCTTTGAGATCTGGATGATATTGCTTTGAACTTACTCTATGCCCTGTGGAATTCCAAAGTCTTCCCACACTTCTAAAACTCCCATGGGAAGTGGAGGGGGCTTTTATTTTTGTGGTCACTTCTGACTCCAACCTCGGCACTTCCCTTGGATTCGTTTGGTTCACAGGCCATTTTACCCCCGCCACAACTCCCCTTGTCCCCCACCATCCAATCGTCCCTTGCCAGTTGCCCCTGAGATGAGATTCTACTTCTTACTTGATTTCCATAAGAACAAAAATAAACAACACTGTAGTGAGTTGAATAGTGTCCTCCCGAAAATATACGTCCACATGGAATGTGGCCTCATTTGGAAACAGGATCTCTACACATGTAATTAGTCAAGTTAAGATGAGGTCATGCTGGAATAGGGTTAGCTCTACATCCAATGACTGATGTCCTTACAAAAGGACACACAAAGATACACAGAGAAGAGGGCAGCCATGCAAAGATGGAAGCAGAGTTGGAGTTTTGAGGCTATAAACCAAGGAACTTCAAGGATTTACATGACCAACAGAAGCTAGGAAGAGGCAGGGAAGGATTCTCCCCTAGAGCCTCTGGAAGGAGCATGGCCCTGCTGACTCCTTGATTTTGGACTTCTGGCCTCCAGAACTGTGAGAGAATAAACGTCTGTTGTTTTAAGTCACTCGGTTTGTGGTACATTGTACAGCAGCCCTAGAAATGAATACATTCCATTTGCATTTGGGTGTGTAGGCAAATTTACTGAGGATTTGAGAGTGGAGGGTAGGACAGAAGGGAACCTGCTTTTCAGCTCTCCATCCCTGCTGTTCCACTGGTTCCCACTTTCCTTTCCCCGACTCAACTTGTTTCTTCATCTCCTCTTTCTACAGAGTCCCCAAACTCCAAATTCATCCTACTCTATTATGCAGAACTCCAGCTCCCACACTCAGCTCCCAGCCCACTGTTCAGGTCAGAAACCCTCCAGATCCTCAGCTGCACAAAAATACATTGCAAGGAATAGCAGCCTCCTGTCAGAAGGGAGAGGTGAGTTTAAAAAGCTATCCCTGTCCCTTTCTGGGGAGGACTGGCTCCTTCTCTATTTCCTGTCCTTCAGTCTAGCAGAGGCAATGGGGTGGGCTGAGCCAGGCTTTGCTCTCTCTTACTTCTCAGAATGTTCAGGCTATGGATTGTGAAAGTCGAGAGGGACCTGTTCGTCTGTCAGTTACTCTAGATGGATAAGACTGTCCCCTGTGTCCGGATGCTTCCCTGAACACTTCAAGGAGATACTAAAGGAATACAAGAGGTTGTCCCTCCCTAGAGGAACACTCCAAAGACAACCCTTAGTCTTTCTTCATTAAAAAGCTTTGTTCAGTTTGTTTGGTCTTTTGCATCTTCAAATAGGAATCTCGTATGTTCTACCTCCCCCTCCCCCCCCACTTCCTTCTCCTCCTCCTTCACCTTCTCCTCCTCCTCCACCTCCTCTTTCTCCTCCTCCTCCCCCTCCCCCTCCTCCTCCTCCTCATCTTATGTGTAGAACTTTTAAAAGTTCTGTCACTTATTATTTTATTTTATTTCTTATCCTCGTACATTTCTAAGATCCATGGGTAAGTATTTTTCCTTCCAGTTTCTATAGAAAATAAGGAAAATCAAGCCCAGGGTAAAGTAAGTTGCCCAAGATTATCTGTGTTTGTCACAGAACTTGCCCTAAACTCTAGGCCAGTACCCTTCCTGCAAACCCCATGGCTTTCTTAGAGTGGTCAGAAGCTGTGCCTTTAGCCTGGAAAAACCTATTTAACTTAGATCAGCCATCTGCTGTTAGAGCTAGAGCTGAAGTTTGGTTCCACTTCAAAACCATGCTGTTTTTTAAGAACAGACTTCTAACCTAATTTTAAATTTAAGTTTATAAATCAGTTTTTAAAACTCTGTATTTTGACTCTGGATTCAGAGAAATATTCTTACTAGGTTACACGAATATTTTGAAACTCAGTACTTACTTTTTTTTTAAATTCAATAAAAGTTTGCACAAACAATGCATCCCACAGGAGAAGCTTATGCCAGATCCCAGATGTTTAACACGTTTGCTTCAGATATTAAGAGTTCATGGCCTCTTGTGCTTGTTAAACCAAAAAATGTAAGCCCATAGAAATGATTTTTAATAACTAGGAGTGCTGCAAGGTCAGGCTGAATTCTGGGCAACCACGGCACTTCAATAACTTTTTTGATCACAGATTGTGTGTGTGTGTGTGTGTGTGTGTGTGTGTATTTAAAAAAAAAAAAAATCCAAGCAGAGAATTCAATGAAGGGCAGCATGAACTCTTACTTTTGACTCAATTTCACTTCAATTGATACATGCAGAAATGTTCAAAAAGTTCCTTTTCTAATTCTGACGTCGACTACCTAGTTTGTAATCACTTACCTGGGTCTGCCATGCAATGAACCAACCATCTACTACTGGGTCTTGTTGTTCAGAATGCTGTTATCATAGTGAACATCTACTGGGGACTGACTGTGTCAATTATCATGCTGTGCATATGTTATATCATTTAACCCTCATACCTGGCACCTTCACTCCTACACTCTGAGTCCCAGCCACTTTCCTCTCTCACCTTGATTATAGGCAGAATCAGTTACCTGGTCCCTCTGCCTTCACCTCTGCCCCTGTCCCTTTCACTCTATTCTCAACCCAACAGTTGGGGCGATCTGTACTAAAAAAATCAGTTCATGTCATTCCTCAACTCCAAACTCTCCAATGGCTTCTCAGCCTATTTAGAGTAGCAGCAAATGTTTAATAACAGCCATGCCATCTCCTTTACCTCATGTTCCTTTTTGTCTGTTTGTTTGTTTGTTTTTTAGATGGAATCTCGCTCTGTCGCCCAGGCTGGAGTACAGATGCGTGATCTCGGCTCACTGCAAGCTCCTCCTCCTGGGTTCATGCCATTCTCCTGCCTCAGCCTCCCGAGTAGCTGGGACTACAGGTGCCCACCACCACGCCTGGCTAATTTTTTGTATTTTTAGTAGAGACGGGGTTTCACTGTGTTAGCCAGGATGGTCTCAATCTCCTGACCTCGTGATCCACCCACTCAGCCTCCCAAAGTGCTGGGATTACAGGCGTGAGCCACTGGGCCAGGCCAACTCTACCCCATGTTCTTCTGCCCTCTCTTCCTACCCTTCTCTCTCTCTTTCTCTTGCTCCAGTGGCTCTGGCCCTCTCAGTTCCTCAAACATATCATGCAACTTTCTTGATATGGTATGGTTCACTGGTCAAGCAAAGATTAAAGCACACACATTATATTACATCTATTAAGGTAGGAAAGTGGGAGATCATTTGTTTTAAACAACAAGTTAGTGATCTATTGGTGGGGGTAACAAAATTCAAAAATTCATGATAATCTATTCTTTCACAACAATCTTTGCTTTAGGAAATGTGATCAAAGACAGGTTTCCCAATTGAAAAAGTTAAGGCTAGTGAGGCAGAGCATATATATATATATATATATATATATGTTTTTTTTTTTTTTTTTTTTTTTTGAGACGGAGTTTCACTCTCATTGCCCAGGCTGGAGTGAAATAGCATGATCTCCGCTCACCACAACCTCCGCCTCCCGAGTTCAAGCGATTCTCCTGCTTCAACCTCCCGAGTAGCCGGGACTACAGGCATGCAACACCATGCCTGGCTGATTTTTTTTTGTATTTTTAGTAGAGACAGGGTTTCTCCAAGTTGGTCAGGCTGGTCTCGAACTCCCAACCTCAGGTGATCTGACCACCTCGGCCTCCCAAAGTGCTGGGATTACACGCATGAGCCACCACGCCTGGCTGCATTTTTATTCCAATAGAATATGCCTATTGCTGGGAGGCTGTCTGTTTTCACCTACTGTATAATGTTAAGGATTGTGAAATTTACATTATGGGAATCTAGAACCCGTGATTAACTTATTGAACCATTGAATGAGCAATGATACTTGAAAACTAAGGCTATCTTGAATAGTTAGAAAATGAATCATTTTGGGAAATGTACTTCAGATAATTCAGATAATATTTTTTGAAGCACTAAACCTTTAAATAACTTTATTCATTTTGATGGATGCTAAAAGTAAAGTGTGGACCACTTTTTGTCTTAGTAGCTAGACTCCATGTATAGAGTTTTACTTCATGATGATTCAGGATAAACACTGGTGGCATAATACAGTGTGGAGGTCTGTTTGCCCATATGCTGAATGGCACCAGGCTAGTGTGCTTCTTGGATCTGCATGTCTTCTTTGAATAATTTTACATAGGCATTTGGGAAGAGAAAAAGGAGCTATAAATAAGCAATTTTCAGCCTGAGAATTTTGTGGGAGCCTCAGCCATAGTGATACTTCAAAGGGACAGGTAAGGTTATGTGCTAATTATAAGTGAAAGAGCCTTAGATGATTTTTAAAACCTACTTCTTCATTCCGATGCTACCGCAACAGCATCAAACAGCTCTAGAGCACTGGCCACTTACAGAACTTGGGACCAGAGACACTATTTAGACCAAACAGAGGGAGAACAACCAAAGAAAGGTTGGAGAGGTACTGTCCACAAATTCCACTCACTTTGCAGTTTGTTTACAGGAAGCTCTGTTCATGACACTGAAATTGTCATTCAGCCCAAGACCAACGTAAGTTGCCAATATTAATATTTATACACACCCTATATTATTGTAAAGTGGTCTTCATTATATAATTCGCATTTAAATAGTCCTTTAGAACAGTGGTCCCCAATCTTTTTGCAGCAGGACTAGTTTCATGGAAGACAATTTTTCCATGGACTAGGGGTGAGGGGATGGTTTGGGGATGATTCAAGCACATTACATTTATTGTGAACTTTATTTCTATTATTACATTATAATATATAATGAAATAATTATATATCTCACCATAATGTAGAATCAGTGGGAGCCCTCAGCTTGTTTTCCTGCAACTAGATGGTCCCACCTGGGGGTAATGAGAGACAGTGATAGATCATCAGACATTAGAACTGTTTTCTTTTTTTTTCAAGATGGAGTCTTGCTCTGTCACCCAGGCTGGAGTGCGGTGGTGCAATCTCGGTTCACTGCAACCTCCACCTTCCAAATTCAAGCAATTCTCCTGCCTCAGACTCTTGAGTCGCTGGGATTATAGACACCCACCACCACACCTGGCTAATTTTTGTATTTTTAGTAGAGAAGGGGTTTCACAATGTTGGCCAGGCTGGTCTTGAACTCCTGACCTCACGATCTGCCCGCCTTGGCCTCCCAAAGTGGTGGGATTACAGGCGTGAGCCACTGTGCCTGGGCAGGTATTAGATTCTCGTAAGGAGCATGAAACCTAGATCCCTCATGTGTGCAGTTCACAGTAGGGTTTGTGCTCCTATGAGAATCTAATGCTGCCACTGATCTCACAGGAGGCGGAGCTCAGGTGGCAATATGAGTGATGGGGAGAGGCTGTAAATACAGATGAAGCTTCACTTGCTCACCTGCTGTTCAACTCCTGCTGTGTGGCCTGGTTCCTAATAGGCCACAGACTGGTACTGATCCAAGGCCAGCGGTTTGGGGATCCCCGCTTTATAGTGTATAAAATACTTTTGTGTTTTTTCTTTCATTCACCAAATATTTATTCAGTATGTACTACACTGTCCTAGGCTTTAAAGTAGACGTTGGAAATGCAAAGATGAATATGGCCCCATACCTCCCCAATTTTTATTTTGATTATCATCATGACTCTGAGCGGTTGCTAAGGCAACAATTTTAATTGTCCCTTTTTTTTTCTTTTTTTTTTTTTAGGAAAGAGATTGAGGCTCAGGGAAGCTCTTGCAATGTCATCATGTTTAAAAAGTATTAATGCCCGAACTTCAACTCAGGTTTTCTGCCTCTAAATCCCATTTTTTAAACCCAATCTTTTCTTTTCTTTTCTTTTTTTGAGATGGAGTTTCACTCTTGCCCAGGCTGGCACGCAATGGCGTGATCTGGGCTCACTGCAACCTCCACCTCCCAGGTTCAAGTGATTCTCTTGCCTCAGCCTCCTGAGTAGCTGGGATTACAGTCGCATGCCACCACGCCCAGCTAATTTTTTGTACTTTCAGTAGAGACAGTGTTTCACCATGTTAGCCAGGCTGGTCTCAAACTCCTGACCTCAGATGCTCCACCCACCTCGGCCTCCCAAAGTGCTGGGATTACAGGCATAAGCCGCTGTGACTGTGCCTGGCCTCTAAACCCAATCTTTAATGCCATAAACAAATACTCAGAGGCAAGCAATTAAAGAAAATAAAAATGTATGCAAATCACAGTCGAATAAAAATGCTAGACTCAGTTCTAAAGAATCTTATAGGGACACAGTTTTCTCAGTACTCATATTAAATCTCTTGTGTTTAAGTGACAAGAACTAAACATGTATTAACTTAGGTAAAATATATTAGTTATGGGCTTATACCTGGTGTGGTTTGTGTACTAGTACTAGGGGAAAAGTAGAGGTGAATTCAACCAAGAATGCAACCAAGAAATCTAATGCCTTTGGAATCCTTCACCATCTCTTATCTTTACTTCTCTCGGCACATCAACTTCACAGTCTGTTATTATGGATTGACCTCTTCTACCTAAAGTGTCTTCTGTTACTACAAAGAGGACTGACTGTTTTTTTCTAGTTATAGTTTAAAAAAAAATTCTAGGGAAGGATTTTGATTGATCGCCTTGGGTTAGATACCATCTCATGAACCAATCAACTCTGACTGGGGAAGTGCAATAGTGGGAAGTCACAGCGGCCACGCAACTTTGGAATGGAGGAAGAGTGGGCCTCATGATGAGACTAAAAGCAGATGTCGACTCTGTCTCCTATACTTAATTCACACAAATGTTTTTTTCATGAAATATCCTATTAAATTTCTGGAAATGAAATGTTCGCTGAACTCCATTACACTGTTGTGCTGTGTTTAACGGAGGCAGCACAAGGTCAAAGGTAGAAACAGGAAAAAGCCATGTAGAAAATTAAGGAATCCTCATTACTTTTAGTGACAGCCTGCCCAAAAAGTGAAAAAGGAAGGCAGGATTTGCATATGGCCCAAAGCAGTGAAAGCAAAATAGTGAATGTTGGAGAGATGATGACTACGAAGAAGAGCTAGGCATACAGCATCGCAGCAACAAACGACACGAATTTTCAGCCACGGCTGAAGTCATCTTGGAAAAGACAGGAGGAAGAGTACAGAAACTCCTGGAGCTTGAGAGGTTATTAATCTTCTGGTCTACTCCCTTCATTTTTCATGTGAGTAGACAGATCCAGGGAGGAGAAGTAATCTTCCCAAGACTATCATAAAGCCTTAGTTATTTCATTGGCAAAAATGGGAAAAATAATGAGACCAACCCTTACATATATCAGGAGGTTTTTCTTCAGAGAGAAATTGGAATAAAGTTACCAGAAGTTGAATAGTGCATTTTCCTCCCACTAGGCAAGGGAGCTGGAATAAATATGCAGATGGCTGAAGAAGGTAAGGCAGTTAACAAAAATAGGAAATGCCAGAAAAGGGGAAAAGGGAGGATCTGCAGTCACGTGGGTCTTCAAAGTAGACAATCTGTATCATGCTAGACCCTCGACTGGTTTACCCAGGATACTCCTAATCCTGTGGGTTCTCTCTTAGTTATGTGCCTGGGCTGGTCACCACCTGAGGGTTTTCTCATTTACCTGTCCCTTCTTTCAGATATCTTAAATTGGTGAAGCGACTTTCCCAACATCCATTCTATCCCATAAGCAGCAGCCATGTGGTTTGGGAAACTGGTCTCAATTTAAGGGATAGGCCTGATCAGTCAAAATGATATCTTATTCTCTTTGCCAGTATTGGTTCAAAAGTAAGCATGTGACCTAATTCTGGCCAAAGAGATAAGAGGAGAGGTTAGCTGGCTTCTGGGAAAGTGACTTTCTCTTAAGAGCATTCCAGGAGAATTTATTCTATTCTCTTCACCTGAGTTGAAGGAGGAGGGTCTTCCCCTGGCAGTCATTCTACAACCACAAATGGAACTAGATTAAGGACGAAACTTACACAATGCAGAACAGAGAAAAGGGAAGGAAAACACTCAATGCTAAATGGTTGAATTGGAAATAAATGAGTCTGAAGGCTGATCTATCTTTGGATTTCCTCATAGGTTAACCATATTAGTTATCTATTGTTGTGCAACAAACTTTTCCCAAACAGTGGCTCAAAACAACTGCATTTTATCGTTATTTAGTTTATGAATCTGCAATGTGGGCAGGGCTGAGTGGGAAAGGCTTGGATCTACTCGACAAGGGGTGAGGTGGCGCAGCTTAGCCAGGACCCGGGGTAATCCACTTCCAAGACGGCTCCCTCACAAACTGGAAAGTCAATGCTGGCTCAGTCAGATGTGAAAGTCATGGGCCTCATTCCTTTCTACGTGGCCCTCTTCATGTGGGTCTCCACAAACTGCGCAGGCTTCCTCACAGCATGGTGGCTGAATTCCAAGAGTAAGCACACAAAGATAACTATGTAGAAACTGCATCACATTTTATGACCTACCATCAGCCATCATATAGTATCATTTTCACTGTACTTTGCTGGTTGATCAGTCACTATGGTTAGCCTAGATGCAGTTCAGAGGACACAGTTTCCAGCTTTTGTTGAAAGGAGTTTCAAAGAATTGTGGACAATTTAAACCATTACAGAAACTAAAACATTTCCTTTTTTTTTTTTTTTTTTTTTTTTTTGAGATGGAGTCTTGCTCTGTTGCCTAGGCTGGAGTGCAGTGGCATGATCTCGGCTCACTGCAACCTCCGCCTCCTGGGTTCAAGCAATTCTCTGGCCTCAGCCTCCTGAGTAGCTGGGATTACATACAGGTGCCCACCCCCATGCCCGGGTAATTTTTGTATTTTTTAGTAGAGATGGGGTTTCACCATGTTGCCAGGCTGGTCTTGAACTCCTGATCTCAGGTGATCCACCTGCCTTGGCCTCCCAAAGAGTTGGGGTTATAGGCCTGAGCCACCACACCCAGCCTCCTTTTTTTTAGACGGAGTCTTGCTCTGTCACCCAGGCTGGAGTGCAGTGGCATGATCTTGGCTCACTGCAAGCTCTGCCTCTTGGGTTCACGCCATTCTCCTGCCTCAGCCTCCCGAGTAGCTGGGACTACAGGCGCCTGCCACCATGCCCGGCTAATTTTTTGTATTTTTGTAGAGATGGAGTTTTACCGTGTTAGCCAGGATGGTCTCGATCTCCTGACGTCATGATCCACCCACCTCGGCCTCCCAAAGTGCTGGGATTACAGGCATGGGTCGCCACGCCCGGCCTTCCTTGTTTTTATGACCATTGGAATTGGATTTTCTGTTATTTGGGGCTGAAAGCATCCTTTTTGAATTGGGTTTTCTGTTTATTTGGGGCTGAAAACATCCTTATTGATACAGTTAGTGTCACCTCAGCTGCGGGCAGCAGAATGTCCTTAACTAACAGCTCTCAGTCACAATGCCAATTGTAACAAAGTTACCGGTAATTTGTTACCAGTAATTTAACACAAAGGTTTTGCAATTGTTCATTTTTTGTTCTTTTCTAATCACAGCAGAATCAAGCTTACCACAATAATAGCAGAAGAGTCATTTACTTAAATTCAAATAGAATTCTCTGAATGGGAGTAAAGGGATGGAATCAAAGCAAGGATGCTCCACCTGGCACGTGGGAGCTTTACTCCAGGTTGAGAGCTATTGGGCTGGATGCCTCTTTTGGTAAGAGAGCTGGAAACAACTTTAGAGTTTCGTTGCTCTGGCTCAAATTCTTTTTCTTCTCCACATAAGCTCTTGTGAAGCCAGTGCAGCCGAAGACTTGTCACCAGGCATTTGATATTCTCTCTAGTTTTGATGATCTTTTGGTGGACAAGGGAAAATATTAAAAAAAAAAATTATTGATCTTCTGTCTTGGTCCTTTCCACGATGAACTCTACCTAAATACAACAAATCATTTTTTAGGGTCCACTGTGTTTTTAGCACTCTGATAAGGCATTGCAGATAGAACCACAACAAGATGTTACTGCAAGAATCTAGAAAACAAATAGAGGGCAGTTGGAGAGCAATGGGAGGCTACTTAAAATTCAATCCTAATGCAGGTGTGACAGTCTTACAAAAGAAAGGAGAGAAAGAGCTAAGCATCTATCTGCTGGATTTCAGGGTACTTCCCTGCCCAGAGGGGCAGCAGCAGATCCCTTCACCCTCTCCTCCCCAGCTACCTCTGAGTGGACCAGGGCGAACATCTGACCAACGGGTGCCCAACCATAGACCAGCCAGCAATTTGTACTTTGTGTGTGGCCTGGTCGGAAAATATGAGCTGAGCCAATCAGATTCGTCCCCAGAAAACTGGGGAGAAGCACTTACTTCTAAGATGGGTCCTGAGCCCAAAGGCTGGACAAATATACCATCGAGGAAGTAATTAGAGAATCAGGTGTAGACTGCAGCTTTGAGAGAATGGTGACTCAGATAAGCTGATTGGGATGTGCAGGTGTGCAAAAAGAAGCAGTCTCCATGAAATGCGAGGCTGAAGGGTGTCTGGGCTACCTTAGCTCCTGCCCTTTCTGATGCCTGCTTGTTCAGTTCTCTGAATATGTTCCCATTGTTTTCTTACCCAAAGTAAGGGTAGGAGTAGAATACCATTCCCTGACTTTTACTTGAGCTAATTGGAGAGGTTTTCTGTTATTTGTAACCATAAGAATTTTGTCCAGAACAAGGCAAGAACCCACAGAAGAGATGACAATTTCATTGGGCTTTGAGTAAGGAAGCAACCCTAAGTCTAGGCTTTACAATTTACCAACTAAATCTGTGACTTAACAAAAGGAGCTTGAGCTTTAGAGTCACACCTAGCTTTGGGTTCAAGTCCAATCTGTACCATTACTTCTTTGTGATCTTGAAAAAGTTACTTATCTGTAACCTCTAGATAATGCCTACTAATTCTTAAATGGTTGTTGCAAGAATTAAACTAGATGTATAAACATATTTATTTGTTTTGAGATGGAGTTTCACTCACACTGCTGCCCAGGCTGGAGTGCAGTGGCACCATCTCTGCTTACTGCAACCTCCACTTCCTGGGTTCAAGTGATACTCCTGCTTCAGCCTCCCAAGTAGGTGGGATTACAGGTGTGCGCCACGTCACTAATTTTTTGTGGAGATGGGGTTTTGCCATGTTGGCCAGGCTGGTCTCGAACTCCTGACCTCAAGTGATCCACCCCCTCCTCAGCCTCCCAAAGTGCTGGGATTACAGGCATGAGCCACCGCACCCAGCCAATGTATATACACTTACTTATATGGACCATTAACACAGTGTTTGGCACGTAGTAGGTCCATGAAGAATGACAGCTATTATCATCCCCAAGTATGTCGATGTACTATTTGGATGGGAGAAAGGAAGTAATCTTCAACCCTGGTCCCTCCCAGTAACATAAGATGGCTTTTTTTTTTTTTTTTTTTTTTTTTTTTTGAGACATACTCTTGCTTTGTCACCCAGGCTGGAATGCAGTGGTGCAATATTGGCTCACTGCAACCTCCGCCTCCTGGGTTCAAGCGATTCTCCTGCCTCACCCTCCCGAGTAGCTGGGACTACAGGCATGTGCCACGGCGCCCAGCTAATTTTTGTATTTTTAGCAGAGACGGGGTTTCACCACGTTGGCCAGAATGGTCTCGATCTCTTGACCTCACGATCTGCCCACCTCGGCCTCCCACAATGCTGAGATGACAGGCATGAGCCACCACATTGGGCCCATAATATGGTTTTGATGGAAGCATTTTTATATTTCCCAACATTTAAAGAGTGGCTTTATATATTGGGGTGTGTGAGTGAGTCTGTGGGCACGTGCGCATGCGTGTTTGTTTGACAACGGTGTTGTTTGGCTCTTCCTCCCCCCTTTCCTACTGAAGTTGTATTCACTATGTCATTGTTATTAATCAGGCATGCAATATGAGATGAACAGGGGTGATGAGTTGGTCAGGCTGCCAAACAAGTTCATGTTTTGTAGGAAATGCCAAATCGTTTCCTGAGGGGATGTTTCTCAGGAATGGAAGGGTATGCCTCTCTGGCCCTCACAGACCCTGTCCCCTCCCTGGAGTGCTGTCAACTCGCAGGGCAATGGGATAGCTCTTTAAAAGCCACTTTATGGAGCTGCCGCCCAGCTGTGCTGGAAATATATTTGCATTGTTTTCTCTTTTCCTTTCTTCTGGTAAAAATGTAACCCACGTCAAGTAGGAAATGTATTACAGACCTCCCACATTTCCTCAAAAACTATCCCAACATCATTAGTCCTGTCATAAGCTAGAAGGGTGGAGGAAGATAGTGAAGGGCTGGGAGTGGTGGAGAAAGAAGGAATGTCTGAAAAAAATAGGATTATAAAGCATTTTGAGCCCCTCCCTCCACTTCTAATTCATAGAGAGACTAATGTGTAAACTAACAAACGAAAGGTCTTAACTAAAGGCTTAAAAAAGATGTCCTTGAATATTTGGTTCATCTGCCAACCACATTTATTCATGAATTATCTTTATGGATGTGGAGCGGGTTTAAAGACAGATGAAGAAAGCTTTGGCGTCCTAAAACTGCCTGGGGTTTTTGCTGGGCATAGGTATTTTCCTAAAGCTCTGATGAAAGCAGAAGTTACAAATGATAGGCTTCGAATGTTATTTCACACAGTGATTTTGAGTGGCATGTACAATCACTAATATTCAGAAGTAACTTTCTGAAAAGTTGTTAAATCTTTCTCATCTCTGCTATTAACAAATATTTAGATTTTATATCTAACCCAAAGGACAGAAAATTCCAAGTAGAATTGTATTGAGTGTGAGAAACTGAATCTTTTAACTTACCATTGGCTAAATTGGTGCTGCCTAGTGACTTGGGAGAGGAGTCCTGGGAACATTGGTCTGGAACTCTGGGGCCATGATGGGGTTAGATTTTCCCTATTCCAGAAAATCATGGTGGGAGGATATGTCAGGTCACTATTTCTGTGTAACAAATATCCCCAAAATGCCATGGTACCAAAAAAAAAAAAAAATCATCTTTTATTTCTCATGCTTGCTGGGCAGCTGGGGATTAGCTGTTCTAAGCTGGGTTTACCTGGCATGACTCTGCTTTAGGGTGTCTTACCCTCCTTGGACCAGCTGGCTGGCCCAGGGAAGTCTTCTAGCATTTGTAGAAGTACAAGAAGGCAAGCAGAAACACATGAAGTCTCTTAAGGCCTAAGTGCAGAACTTGAACACAATTACTTCCATTTCATTCTATTGACGAAAGCAAGTCACATGGCTGAACCCAAAATCAAGGGGTAGGGAAATAAACTCCACTCCTTCAGTGGAAGGAACTTCGAAGTCATAGGCTTTGGATATGGGCATGGATACAGTACACGATGAAGTCCTGGGGCCAATACTGTAACCTACTAAAAAGAAGGAATATGACTAGGACTGTGGCTCCAGAAAGTGGAACCACATAGCTTATCTGCAACTTTGACAGGTTAGTCCCTTCTGTAGTATTGATGGTAGCTATCATAACTCAATGCTAACATTCAATATTACTCCCATCTCTCCTAATTTTCATTCCATTTCCCTGATCACGCAACCTTTTGGTTATCATTTAGCTTCCTGGATAGCTATTTCTTCAGGGCATAGTGTTTTGGCAAAAAAATACACATGTTTGGGCCTTGCAACAATCCTATTTCTCATTCTATATTAATAGACAGACATACTGTTGTCTACTTCTGGTGAGCCTGACCAAACTTCCTTCTTCAAGAGAGATTTACTCAGTATGCTAAAAGAGAAAAGGAGCAAGTTTCTAAGCTTGAAAAACTGAAAGTCAGTTCTTCTATTACGTAAATTCAATGTGAAGGCAGTGGGCAACCAGTCACCCTCTTATGGGGAGACTACTACCAGGGCATAATTGTTACCCAAATTTCTGTAGTTCCTATATATAAATAATTTCAGCACTTGGCCTTTAATAGTGTAGGAGAAGGAAGTCGGGCATGGAGGCTTATGCCTGTAATCTTAGCACTTTGAGAGGCCAAGGTGGGCAGATGGCTTGAGCTCAGGAGTTTGAGACCAGCTTGGGCAACATGGTAAAACCCTGTCTCTACAAAAAAAAAAAAAAAAATTAGCCGGGTGTGTTGGCATATCTATACTCCCAGCTACTCAGGAGGCTGAGACGGGAGGACCAGCTGAGCCTGGGAGGTGGAGGCTGCAGTGACCCATGATCACGCCACTGCACTCCAGACCCTGTCTAAAAAACAAAACAAAACAAAAAAGGTGGAAGGGAAGGGTAGTACAATCCACACAATCTTATTGCTAGGTAGCCAAGAACATGAATGGTGTATTAGAGGGGTTTAATCAGGGAAGCAGAACCACTAGAATCTTACTGATAAGAGACTAATCTCTTGCAGAATTATGTGAGAAACTGGTGAAGTAAAGGTCTGAAAGCAGAATTGAAGGATTAGAGAAAAGTCACTAACCAGCCATCTTGAAGTCCTGTACAGGTGGACTTGTAAGGCCAGAACTTGTAATGATTCTAGGAAGCCGCACATGTCTAACTGCTGGAGTGGTACCCAGGAGAGGAGCTGTGGAAAAGTCCATAGATAGCTGATACTTCTGGAGGTCTCCCACCAAGCTCTGGAGTCATCTTGGGTCCTCTGGCCAGCAGGGACTGGAGTTGGAAAGAAGAGCTAGACATGGGGAGGAGGACGAGCTGGAACCTGCCAGAATCTCTGTGTGTCTACCACCATGTGTAGTCACAAGGATCTTCAGAGGGAGTGGCTCTGCTCCACTTTCACCTTCCAAATCTTGCCTCAATTCTTCTTTTTGGCCAACCTAACTTGTAACCATGTAGGGAAATAAATTTGGGGAAATGGAGTTCCAATTTAAGCAAGTTGACATGGGTCCAGAAGAATGCAGGGTCATTTGCTTCAGGTTTGAGTCATTTCTTCCAGTCCATACAGAGGTCACAGAAGTAGGGGTTTAGATGTTTCTCTGCTCTTCTCAGTGAGTTTGGGGCCTTTGTTCTTGAATCCTGATCAGTTTCATGTGCTCTCATCCTCTTTGGACCAGTTGCTCAGCCTGGGTGAGCCAATCATGTAGTTGGTGGAAAACCTTTTGTTTTTGGATTCTCTCTTTGTTTCCTCCTTCATAGATTTCCTTTGACCCCACTGGTGCTATTGCCTCCTGCTCTAGGTGCTGAATATTTTTCATTTAGACCTCTAATACAACTGTGTCAGCCTTTTAGTGCTATGAAGTTTCATTGATTAGTGGGGTTTGGAGGAGGCAGACGGGTGTTTTGAGGAAGGGCTTTGTGGGAGGGCACTGAGAAATGAGACTTTCATGATTAGTTCTCTTGGTGGAGCATCTGTGACCAGGCATTATCCCATTGTTACCTTAGTTTGGTGGGTAACAGTTATCCAGGTAAGAAGATGATGAGGGAGGGAATGAAAAAAGAAAAAAGCAACTCATCTCACTACAAATAGTTCCTAGCTTATTCGACTATGTATCCTGTGGATTAATGGGCAAATTCCTCAGTAAGATATTCAAGACCCTTTAGAGCCTAGCCTTTTTATTTCTCTCTTCTCCCAAATATATACTAGACTTTGAGTAACACTGGATCTCCTGAAGCCCACTCAGGGAAACCCTTCGAAGTGCTTGAAAGAGAGAGAGAAGTGCAGATAAAGATGATGAAGAAGGCATGATGGTGACTCTGTGCTTGCTTTCAGGTGAAGATGTCAGCATTCTCATAAGGTGGCCACCTGAAAGATAGAGAGCTATGTATCCACAAAGATTTTTCTTTATCTACTTGGGACAAACTTAAATTTTCTATGACTTTAATACACTCCTTGATAAATTTTCATGTTCTATGTCTCCCGTAGAATGCCGATAGCATGAGAAACATTTTTTTGATATGTTTAATGTAATCTATATGTCATCATCCATGACAGTGCCTATCAGAGTAGGTAAAGCTAGGTGTTGGGAAAAAAAAAACCCAAATACTAGTGGCTTAACACAATAAAGTATATTTTTCACTCACATCACCATCCAATCAAAGTTAGTGGGCAGTGGTGAGAGCTTTGTTCCATGAAGCCAATCAAGGACACAGATATTTCTCCCATCTTGTCATATTGTGAGCTTTAGCAATGGTTACCATGGTTTAGTCCAAGGTTGTCATGGAATGGAAAGAGGGAGAGAGTAGGGTGAAGGCTCACCTGTTCTTAGTTGCCTAGATGCAAAAGTAAAACTCTATTTCTGCTCAAATTCCATTGGTCAGAACTGGCCACATGACCTTATCTAGATGCAAGGGGAGTGAATGGGCAAAGCAGTTTAGCTTCATGCCCAGGGAGAAGAATTGAGGTTTGGTGAGCATCCATGATATTTCTAAAATGTCACTTTGTCTCTGAAGCAAGTGCCTAGGACTGCATCTGTTATATGGTAGGCACTCAGAAATATTTTTTGAACAAATACATGAAATGAATGAATATGTATAGGCTTCTGCTGTTATGTTCTAAGGCAGAAAATAGGAAGGAAATAATTTTGAGAGAAGCAAACATCTGTCTGCTACCCACTATATTCATGACCATTTATTTGTAAAATTATTTCACAAGCACTCTAGGAATTCATACTCTTTTGAAGCTATGTTTTCATTTATTCAACAAATTGTTGAGTGCCTTCTATGTTAAGTGCTATGCTGTGTGGTCAGGAAATAGAGGTTGAAGTCATCATTCCTGCCCATTGGTAACTCACTTGGAATGTATCTAGAGGGAAGTGGGAAAAGAAGCCAGTAATTGCAGCTATTACATAGGCACCATGATAGACATACACATGGATTGTGGTGGTTATGCTGGGAAATGGCACCTAATTGAGTCAGGAATGGGAGTTGTGGGGTTTCATTGTCTAGAAGAGGTGGTATTTTGGTTGGATGAACATGAGTTTGCTAGTTGATACTCATAAGAGAAAGGTAGAGGGAATGGTATGTGCAAATTTGACAGTTTAGGGAACTGCAATTCCTTCAGTAGGTCAAAAAGGTGTGATGGAAATACTGGGAGATAAGGCTGGAGAGGTAGGCTTGGGCTGAGTCACAAAGCACTTCTAAACTGCATTAAATAAAGAATGAATAGGGGTTTAGAGTAGGAATTATGTGATTTTCTCTATCAAATGAAAGAATTGATACACACAGTATATCTAAGCAGCCGCGTTATCCATATTGACCAGTCTATTTTTCTCCTTAGATCAGCTTCAAATAATATAAAATTGCTAAATTAAAAAACAAACAAAAACCTGTTCATAATATTTTGAGGACAATCCTTTTGTGGGAAGAGATTAGAAATAAGAGCACAAAGAAAGGTGTACAATACCCTCCATTCATGTAGCCTTGCCTCAGATAGAACAGGAAGGAGGCCCATTTCAAGGAAAACAAAGGAATTGGCTTCATGATTTTACAAGAAAAACTGTATCTGTCAATAGAGAGGATTCTTCTAGGAAAGTGTTTTAAGATGGACTAGGGAAGAAAACTGGGAACAATTAGGGAAGCTCCTGCTCTTGGTACTTCTGCATCAGCAAAGAGGTTGTTAAAGGTGTTCATTTAAGGAACCAAGTATCAGCTCACTTCAATTAGTAGTTATCGAGCATTCATTCCTCCTTCATTCATTCAGTACATTTCAATGACACTTTTGTGCCCTGCACTAAGTCAGGTGCTGTAAGGAAGTAAAATATAGGTAAACTTATGGTCTTGCCCTTGAGAAGATTCAACTAACACACGAATCCAGTAATTTCTAACCAAGGATGTGCTCTCCTTAGGTAGCAAGGGAAGCTGGGCACCGTGGCTCATGCCTGTAATTCCAGCACTTTGGGAGGCTGAGGCGCGAGGATTGCTTGAAGCCAGGAGTTTCAGATCAGCCTGGGCAGCAAAGCATGACCCTGTCTCTATAAAAAAATTAAAAAATGTAACCAGGCATGATGGCATGTGCCTGTAGTCCAAGCACACTTGGGAGGCTGAGGTGGGAGGATGGCTGGAGCCCAGGAGTTTGAGACAGCAGTGAGCTATGATTGTGCCACTGCAATCCAGTCTGGGCAACAGTGAGAGCCTGTCCAAAAAAAAAAAGGAACAAATGAGAGAGAGAGCAGAGAGAGAGAGAAAGAATATTAGTCTAAAATGCCTTGGAGTTCAAAGTTCAGATTCAAATCTTGACTGTATGTTTGGGCAACCACTAACAGGTTGTCTAACCTTTAAATATTTTCAAAAGCAAAATGAAGATAATAACAGCTACATTGCAATTTCCAGGATTAAATGAAATGACTCATGAAACCTTTGTGTAAACAGTGCAGAACTTTGCAAACAGTGGTGATACATTATTAAAGGTGAGCTTACTAGGACTTGAAAGCAGTGGTTTTCAAAGTATTTGTTGAAACACTAATGCCCAAGATTGGAAATAGGCATTTCTCAAGAAAAGAGTTCTATGGTCAAACACATTTGGGAGATGCAGGATCAAAGAAAGTAAAACATGGTTCTTAGGTCTGTAAAATGCTAGCATGCATTGTGAATCTCAAGGAAAACAAGTATTGTGTGTCTCTTTCCCCCAGATTAATGTGATCTGGGGATCTACCCCTACCCCCACTCCAGCATCTCTAGGACCTTGAGATGGACAGAACTCACTCTGGGAAAGACTGCTCTCCAGCAAGAAAAGTATGAATCTTTCTTTCGATTTTATAGTCCCACCACCCAGGCCGGCACCGTGGCTCAATGTCTGTAATCCCAGCACTTTGGGAGGCAGACGTAAGAAGATCACGTGAGTCCAGGAGTTCGAGACTAGCCTGGGCCACATAATGAGACCTCATCTCTACCAAAAAATTAAAAAATTAGCCTGGCATGCTGGCTCGCGCTTGTATTCCCAGTTGCTTGGGGGAGGGGCTGAGGCGGGAGGATCACTTCAGACCTGAAGGTCGAGGCTGCACTGAGCCATGAGCGGCCACTGCACTCCAGCCTGGGCGACAGACCCTCTGTCAAAACAAAACAAACAAAAAATGCTGAGCCATTCTTCATCATACAATCTAGGAAACTCATTCAACAACTTTCCAAGCAGTGCTGAGATTTCCACCAAGGAAGCCCAGAGAAAAGGGCCAGGCCCCCGCTTTGCCAGGGTTAGAGGGGATTCCCTCAGAATCCGGGGTGCGAGGTGCTGTGGTGGATACATTTAATATTCTTTCCAAGACACCCATGATGGCAAGGCAGTAGCAGATAGAAAGCAACAAAAGCGAAGAGAGCAGGGCTGATCCTCAAAGACTTTATAAATTAGACTTTATAAATTAGACTTTTTATAAAAACTCTAAAAGTCAAGTAATAACATGCCTACTCCGCTTCTAAGAAAAGTGTGCAGAAACATCTCCAGCCAGAAAGACTGCTCCTGCCTACCCAAGTCAGAGAAGTTTCATCAGGCCAATAGCTTCCCCTCTGTCCCCCTCCTACCGCTTGTCTCCCTTCTTCTCCCACAACACACCCCATACCTGGCGGCATTTTACACCTTCCCAGAAGGGGCTGCCAAGCGCGGAGTCGCGGAGGACGCAGGCGCAGCTCGTCTCAGGTACGCGGGAGGCCCCGCCCCTCTGCGCCCAGCCCCTCCGCGCCCAGCCCCTCGCGCCACTCCACTTCCCGCCCTGCCCCGCCCCGCCTCGCCCCGCCCCTCCCCGCCTTGCCTCGCCCCTTCGCGCCCGTCCCACGGGGCAGGGCGGCCCTGGTGGGTGGTGTTGGAGTGGGGATGGGGAGGGAAGTGGAGGGGAGGGGGTAAGTGACAGGGCTGGGGAGGCCCTGGGGAGGGTGGGAACTCGAGGCGCGGCCGCGCGAGGTGACCGGAGTCACAGTTCCCGCGGGCGGCGACAGCAGAGCGCCCACTGCCTCCAGCAGGTAACCAGCCGCGGTCGCGCTGCGCCGCCTCAGCGCGAGCGTGGGACGTGGAGACCCTGAGGAGGGCGGCGGGACCCGGGCGGGGAAGAGCGCGGCGTGGCTCAGGTGCGCTTCTCCCAGCTGGCTGCTCGCTCAGGGCTGTGGGGGGCGCCTGTCGGGGCGGCCCGGCCTTGCGGGCTGGCGGTGAGCGCCCGTTCTGTCTCTTTTGTCCTTAACTTTTTCTAAAATGGGGCCGTGGTCGGGCCCCGGGGATGTTTCCATGTCTCCTCAGCGACGCCTGTGTCGCGGGGGTCTGAGGGAGCTTTAGGCCCCGCGACAGCTGCAAGCGCGGTGGTCTGGAGGGCACCGGGGTGGGCGACGAGGCGAGGCTGGGTCCCTCGCTGCCCAAGTGGGCGGCTTTGCCTAGGGGGACCCGTGACCAGGGACGGTCGAGACCCCAGCCCCGGCGGGGACGGCCGCGCGCCCCGCTCCCTGCTGCGTGCTCGGGCTTCCGACGGCGCGTCCAGGTGGGCTCTGGGCTTTGCGGAAAGAGAGAAGCGAATTTCCTTTCCCTGGCGGGGTGTGATGAGAAGAACTTCGCAGAGTTTTTACCTGTGATGTTTCTGAAACTTTGTGAAGTGGCGAAAGGGTGTTAAAAGTGTCACTTTACTGTGGTGTCTGCAAACCACAATCTACCCAGCTAGGTTTTAGATTTGGCTTCTGTTTCTTCCAGGTTTTCCTTTGCTATGCTTTTCTTTACGGGAAGATACTGTGGATGAACTGTGGGCTGTAGTGCACACCGATAGACGTCTGTGTAGAGACAAGATAGATGCCAAACCAAGAGCACTGATTTCTTTAGAACATTTAAAATACAGCATATAAAAAGATTGCCTTTGTTATTAAAATATTATTCTAGTTCTCCCTTTAGGTAGGCAGTTAATCACTTAATGCTGGGTAGAGACAGCCAAGGAGTCTGAGGAGGAGCATCAGGAAAGGAGGAAATCTAGGAGGCAGTGGTCTCATAGAAGCCAGGAGAGGAGAGTTTTAAAAAGGAGAGAAGTCTATCTGGGAGTCAAGAACTGATTACACCTATTGGCTTTGGAAGTTAGGAGGGGGGCTTTAACCTCAGCAGACATAATTTAAGTACAGCATAAGGGTAGAAGCCAAGTTTGAATGAATCTGAGGAGAGAATAGTGATTCTGCACTCACAAGTAAATGTGAGTTTAGAATCTGTATTTTGAGAAATAAAGGTTAGAAGGAGAGGCGATCCATTGATTAGGGAGATGATTAAAAAAAAAGAAAGAAAGAAAAGAAAAAGACAAATAAGGACGGTAGACTACCTTTATGTTATCCATAATAGTTACAAATTTTAAAAATGAAGTGCATCATTTCATAATATTGTTCCTGTCTCATGGTTAAGTAGCAAAAGCTGAGAGCAAGAAGCTGAACATATTGAAAAGAACTATTCGTGATAAAGTAGTTATGCCCTGCCCATCCAAATTATGAACACGATTTTAGTGGTATTTTGTTTGGTGTGTTGGGTTCAGGTGTTACAGGTGTTTAAGTCACACATATAAACTGTGTTGGACTCTATTTTACCTGAGTTCCAGTACGTTGATGTTCCCAACTTGCTTTTAAGTTATGCGGTTCTTTTATGTATGTCCCAATGGTTCTTCTAAAGATCTTGTGTAGAAATCAGGTGTTGGGACTCAATCAGAATCTGTGAGGCATATATCATTTAGGGCCTTTGCTTCAATTATTATTATGCATTCAGGGGAAATGGCTCTTAGATTAAAATTTCTGTGTAATGAGTTTCACTTCAGTTCTTCGTTGAAAGTTTGATTTTTTTGTTGCTCAACAGTTCAGACAAATCATTTTATGAGTATTTTCCTTAGGAATATGAAAAGAATGGTTAAAATGGAAAAGGCTGGCAACCAAGTGCTGATTAGGATGTGGAGCAACTGGAAGTCTCATAATCTGCTGGTGGAAATGTAAATTGCTGTAATCATTTTGGAAAACTTTTTGGCATTGTCTGCGAAAGTAAAACATACGCATAAGCTATGCCAAAACATATACCAAACAAAATTCTAGAAAATGCAAACTAATGTGATGGAAAACACATCAATGGTTACTTGGGGGTAGGGGAAAGAGAAAGTAAGGAGGGATGGATTCAAAAGAGGTGTGAAGAAACTTTAGGGGATGATGGATATATTCATTTTCTTGATGAGATGATGCTTCCACCAATGTGTGTGTATGTATTTATTTGTATATATATCACTCATTTAATTATACATTTTAAATATGTGAAATTTATTGTAGGTAAATTATACCTCAATAAAGCTTTAAAACAGATTAAATAAAAATAAAGAAGAAAGACACATCATTTAAGTATATTTACCTCCTTCAAATACTATAGTTATTTCAGGGTAATGTAATTATGGATAATTTTTATTTTATTCATATAGTTTTCTGAATTTTTGATGTTTTGTACCACAACCATTTATTTACTTCTTAAGTGAGAAATTATTTCATATGTGCAAAATAGTACTTTTGACACATCTACAGATTCAGAGAATACAAATAAAATAAATACCCTTGTGCCTATGTATTGCTTAAGAGATAATACATAACCAACATTTTTTGAAGCCAACCTGTGTATTCTTCCTGATTATATCTTTTTCTTTCCACTCTCCTTGATTTTCTATATGGTTTTACCACATGTCTATGCATTCCAAACACTGTGTTGTTCAGCCTACTTTGGAATGCTGTATAAATGATATTCTACTATGTGATTCCTATGGCTTTGCTTTTTGCACATTCTATCTGTGAGATTTCTTCATGCTGATGTGTTATAGTTTGTTCACTTTTTATTGCTGTACATAATTTCATTGTGTGACTTTACCACTCTTTATCCATTATCCTGTGGATGGATATTTAGGATGTTTTCAGTCTTTTAAAAATTTTTTTGCTTTTACATTTAATTTTTATTTTTTTCCACTAAAATCTGTTTTTAAGTGACCCTTCTAATTCATGTCTCTTTGTGTTCATAATTTTAAGAACCCTCAGTTTTTCTGGAAAATACTGGATTGTTTTATAAAGTGGCTGTACCAGTTTATACCCTCACAAGCAGGATGTAAGTGTTCACTTTGTTCCCTTTTTAAGCAACGAGTAAGACGTTTCTACATTCATAATTACCTGAAATTTTTTTCTTTTTGACAATCGGGTGAGTGAGAAATTGTATCCCATTGGGGGTTTAATTTAAATCTCCTTAATTACTGGTGATGTTGAACCTTTCATAGTTTATGTTCTGTGGGTGTTTATGTCTTTTGCCATTTTTTTGGTTTGTTTTTGTTTTTTACTTTAAAGCATGGATTTTTTTGTTTTTGTTTTTGTTTTTTGTTTGTTTTTTTTGAGATGGAGTTTTGCTCTTGTTGCCCAGGCTGGAGTGCAATGGCATGATCTTGGCTCACTGCAATCTCTGCCTCCTGGGTTCAAGCGATTCTTCAGCCTCAACCTCCTGACTAGCTGGGATTATAGGTGCGTGCCACCATGTCTGGCTACTTTTTTGTATTTTTAATGGAGACAGGTTTTTACCATGTTGGCCAGGCTGGTCTCAAACTCCTGACCTCAGGTGATCCACCCGCTTCGGTCTCCCAAAGTGCTGGGATTACAGGCGTGAGCACTCTATTTTTACGTCTAAAAAATGGATTTCTGTAATAGAAGCTCTATATATTCTGGATATGTATATAATCCCTTGTCAGTTATGTATGTGGCACATTTCTTTTTCTCCAAGTGAGCAGCCTGTCTTTTACTTTCTTTATAGTGTCTTTTGATTAACACATTTTATAATTGAATATAGTTGACTATGTCAACTTTTTCTTTTATGGTTTGTGCTTTTGGCATCTTGTTTAACAAATCTTTACCTGCCCTGAGATTATAAAAATATAGTCTGATATTTTCTACTAAAAGCAAGGGAGTATATGGGAAATCTCTGTACCTTCTCAATTTTACTGTGATTCTAAAACTACTCTAAAAAAGAAAGTTTATTTAAAAAGTTGTCTTTCATATTTGTGTCCTTAATCCTTGTAGAACTGATTTTTGTGTGGTGTGAAGTGGGGGTCCAATTTCTTTTTTTCCCATATGGCTAATCAGTTTTTCCCAGCATTATAGAACTGAATATTCTGTTTTTCATTCCAGTGATCTACAAGTATCATAGATCAAACTTCCATATATGTGTAGTTGTTTCCAAGCTACTCTTTCTAAAACAGATCTGTTTGTGTATCCTTACCACAGTCTTATTTACTTTAGCTGTTTAAAGCACATTGATACTTGAAAGTGAGAACAAGTTATCCACCCATGCTTCTTTTAAATTAGACTGCTCCTCAAATTAATGTTTAATTTTTTTCTTTTTAAAAGGAATAAAATGTGTTATTTAATTCTTAAATATCTACTGTAATCACCTGAAGTCATAAATAATACCGAGGCTACTCTAAGGTAGACTATATCGGACTGCAAATCCTTTCCTTACTCACTAGAATTAATTTTAACTTGAAAAGTAAATACAGGATTTGCATTTTGGGAACAGTGTAAGTTGAGGTATTGGACAGCCTTAGCTGAAAACAGCTAAGAATGCTGTATTTAAAAAACAATTCAAAAGATAGGAATTAATATGCCAAAATCTAAGAGAAAGCTGAACGTATGAGAGACTAAAGGAGGCTTTAAGTCTTGTTTGCCCTGAGGGCATTTGCTAAACTGGGGAAACTTGATGGATTTGAATAGGAACTTGGTAGATTTGCATGTCACCAAGGATAGTT